ACTTACATTTCCTCCCAACTATTTCAGAATTGGGGTTGTATTTGGCCAGTTGAGTTTTTGTGTGTGATCTTAAGTGGTTACTGTCCTTTGTTGCATCATATAAGAGGTTAAACTCTTCTGAAGATGGACAATATTCAAGAATGGATTATTGGCTTATCTTCTATGGACTTTGCAATATTTTGATCAGTGAAATCTCTGCTTCTCTACTCACGTATCACTGTATGATTAGGCTGTCTTTATCTTAGTCTCAGCAACCTCAGACCTCGGTCAACATTTGGAAGTTTAACAATGATTTGCTACAGAATACCATTTTTGATGAACAGATCAAGGCTCTCATTAGCAAAGTTAAAAATATACATAGATCTAACATGAGGAAATGGGAGTAGTTTAAATTTAGGGTGAGGCATATTGTGATTAACATGGCTAAAAACATATCAATGCTAAGGAAACGAAAACAAAAGGAGTTCATGGACCAAAGTAATTCAATGGTGAACAACATTCAACTGTCAATAGAAAACAATATGGGATTACAATCTTTGCACTCAGAATTGGATGAGATGTTCAGCAAATGGAGCATATAGTAGATCAGGCGCTAAATTAATGGAATGGGGGGAAAAAGTGAATCTTATTTTTTCAGCCTTGAAAAGCAAAGACAGACCAGGAAAAAAATAATTAATCTTATGGCCAATGATAATAATTATAATAGAAGATCAAAAACTAATTCAGGATGAATCTGGCTGTATTACAGCTTCCTTTATGAATCAAAATTTGAAAGATCAAAATGTGACTTCTTTTTTTTAAATCATCAAAGAAGACAATAAAAAAAATCACTAAGGATGACAAAAACCTGCTTGTTGAGGAACTAACTATAACAGAAATTGACATGCCATTGAAATCAATGAAAAAATGGTAGGTTACCAGGAATTGATGGGCTAACATCTGAATTTCTAAAACACTTTCAGGAAGATATTGGTGAGTAATGATTTACAGCTTTTTTGGGAATGTATTCAGAGAGCGTGTAAATCCTCTATCATAACAACAGTTTTGATATCCTTGCTACCTAAGCCCAAGTAAGACCTCTTGTTGCTCGACAACTGGAGACCAATATTTCTACCATGTAATGATATATAAATTACTTACCCTGACGTTTACCAATCACCTTAAACTTGTCCTCGGAAAACTTGTGGAGGAATATCAATCAGCCTTTATCAAAGGAAGATATATCCAAAACCATGTACAGTAAGAATAATTATGGACGATTGTCTGTGAATCACTCATTCAATCAGACGGGTTCATTTTGTTTTTTGACTCTTTCAAAGTGTTTGATACTATGGAACAGAATTTAAACTTACATCACTGAGAAAGCCTGAATTTGGGGAGAGGTTTTACAAGGTTATTACAATGTTTTATAATGACACCTATAGTTATATTTACCTCAATCCAGAAATGACACCAGTTGTAGATAGTTCATGGAATTAGGAAGGGGTGCCCAATAACAAAAAAATTGGCTATATTATGTACACAAATGTTAGCTTACCTCATTGTACACCACCAACTACTATAAGGAATTAACACATTTGATTTTGAATACTGAATTACTTAATTTGCTGATGACTCAGTAATCTTGTTAAAAGATAAATCTTTGATTGTAAAAGCTCTGGAGTTAATTCAATTTCTCAAGAGCATCCAGCCTGGATTTAAACCTGAAGAAATGTGAATTATTTCCTCGTTATACATGCACTGAAGCTACTATTGAAGCCACTGCTGTAAGATCTGAAATAAAGTACCCGGGTATAACAATATCTAAAGATACAAACAAAATCGAAGAAATCAACACAGAGGAGATAGATAGTACAAAAAAATCCCTTAATCATTGGCTCATAAGAGACTTCCCTAGTCCGGGTAGAATACTATTGACCACAGCAGACGGCATTTCAAAACTAATTCACCCATGTCAATCTCTTTGTGTTTCTCCTCAAATAATTGAAAAAAAAAAAACTGAACTCAATAATCTTTAACTTCATATGGAAAAACAAATCTCACCACCTAAAAAATCTCAAATAATTAAAGACAATAACAATGGTGGTCTGAAAGCCACTGGATTTGAATCTACACTACGATTGGAGTATTCAGAATGAACTGGATAAAAACTATTTGGTGCAGCCTGGCTCTGTATAGTTCCATATTGCAAGGTGCTTTTTCAAGAAAACTGCAAGGATGAAATTTTTGATGAGTGTGACTTTGAGATCTCCGAATCACCTATCAAATTTCCATAAACAACTTTTGAATTGCTGGAAAATAATATTTACCCACAACTACACGACGCATGGCTCCATCTTGTGGACCAATGGAACCATTACAATTAATAAGACCTCAAACAAGAATGGTCTGATAAAACGATTTTAAATGCTGTTGATTTAATGGATGAACATGGCCAATTTGTAAAATTCGATTTATTTATCTATGAGTTTGACGGCAATTGCTCTTACAGAGAATATTGTCCCATTTGTTAAGCCATTCCACTTCCCTTAAAACAGTGGTCTTTAACGTCGTGGGGACCCACTGTGTATGCTGATTTTTTGTTCCAACCACAATTGGAATCGCAGGATTTTAACAAGCTGTTAATGTCTTAATTAGGCGTTTTTCATGTTTAGAGTTGTTAATTACTCCCTTTAGCCTAATGTTACATAGAAACATCCATATATGCCATGAAGAATAAAATACCCTAGAGGATAGTGTGATTATATCTATACTGCAAGAAATTTCAAGTAATATAACATTTCAAACAGGTCAAATTAGACACTGAGGAAATCCATAAACCCCAAATGAGGCTGCTGGACACAACTGTTTCAAGTTATTTATAAAAAAAACTTCAGGTGAACTTAATTAGATTAACATAACACAAAACTGGTTTGACTTTTCACCATTTGCTTGTCGAATAAATTTGTCATGATGTGCCAATCAGTTTTCACCAATTAGGAGCCAACTGCATCTTCAGTTTGATTGGTTACACTGTTTTCTCTCATTTAATGCTGTTATTTCCAATACATTGGAATGTGGGTGTGGTATTTTTTCTATTCTTGATGGCAAACATCGATATTTCTGTCAACTTGTGAGCTGACAGGGGAAATAACTGCTCAAATTATTAAATGCACTTAAAGAAAAATTAACAGCTTGTTAAAAATCTGCAATTACAATTGCAGTTGGAACAAAAACCAGCATATACAGTGGGTCCCCAGGAACGACGTTGAAAACCACTGCCTTAAAACACATCATTCCAAATAACTTGTCACACACAGATATTTCAATTAAATTTACAAAACTGAAAATTGGTGAAAGGTACATATGCAAAAGGAAGTGTGAGAATAAGCTATTTGGAAAAGCTTTGAAATGTAAACTATTTTTAGATTTCAACTCACCAGCTAAATTAAGAATTCAAGATGGAATAATGCCAATTAGTAAGTATTAAAAGGGCCAGGTCATGCAGTAACGGAGTTACAAAATTGGTGTATTTTGTATCATAGCTCCAAAACTAAGTAGATAAAGTTACAATTTAAATGGCCCTAGTACTTTAAATAACCAAATATCCAATTTTGTTCATTTGATTTATTTTGGGTGAAAACGGCAAAAAACTGGCCAGTAACAGACAACAGTCTGTACACATCTGGGAAATGAGGAGACCAGTTGCTGGAGTTTTGGGAGAGGAATGTTGTCCCACTCTAGTCAGATGTAGGATTCTAGCTGCTCAACAGTCCTGGGTCTTCTTTGCCGAATTTTCCATTTTATGATGTGCCAAATGTTTGCTATTGGTGAAAAGTCTGGACTGCAGGCTAGCCATTTCAGCACCTGGACTCTTCTACTGGCAAGCCATGCTGTTTTGATGGATGCAGTATGTGGTTGAGCATTGTCTTGCTGAAATATGCCAGACCTTCCCTAAAAGAGACGGTGTCTGGATGGGACAATATATTGTTGTAAAACCTCTATATACTATTCAGCATTGACAGTGCCTTTCCAAGATCTGTAAGCTGGTCATGCCATAGGCACTAATGCAACCCCAGACCATCACAGAGGCAGGCTTTTGAACTGCGCGCTGATAACAAGCTGGATGATCTCCCTCCTCTTTAGACCGCACAACATGGCATCTGTGGTTTCCAAAAATAATTTCAAATTTTGATTCATCTGACCACAGAACAGTTTTCCATTCTGCCTCAGTTCATTTTCAATGAACTTTGGCCCAGAGAAGACAGAGGTGTTCCTGGATCATATTCACATATGCCTTCTTCTTTGCATAATACAGCTTTAGCTTGCATTGTAGATTGCACAGCAATTGTGTTCACAGACAATGATTTCTGGAAGTGTTCCTGAGCCCATGCAGTGTATTCCAGTGCAGAATCATGCCTGTTTTTAATGCAGTGCCACCTGAGGGCCCGAAGATCATAAGCATCCAATATTGACCTTCAGCTTTGTCCCTAGTGCACAGAGATTTCTACAGATTTTCTGTATATTTTGAAGATATTATGTACTGTAGATGGTGGGACATTCCAAGTCTTTGCAATTTTACATTGAGGAACATTTTTCTGAAATTGTTCCACAACTTTTAGATGCAGTTTTTCAGATTGGTGAGCATCTGCCCATCTTTACTTCTGAGAGACTCTGCCTCTCTAAAATGCTCTTTTTATACCCAGTGATGTTACTGGGCTGTTGCAAATTAACCTAATTATTTGCGAAATTCTTCTTCAGCTGTTGTTTATTAGTACCACTTACTTTCCCAGCCTTTTTTTGCCCCTGTCCCAACTTTTTTGAGACGTGTTGCTGCCATTAAATTCAAAATGAGCTGATATTTCTCATGAAATAGTAAAATGTCTCACCATTAACATCTGATGTGTAGTCTGTGCTCTATTGTGAATAAAATGTGGGTATAAGAGATTGGCAAATTATTGTATTGTTTTTATTCGCGATTCACTTAACACCCCAACTTCATTGTATGGCAGGCCGAAGGAGGGCCCGGGCGGGGAGTTGAACCCCAAACTCCCGGGTAAAAGCCAAACGCGCTGACCACGTCGCTGACCCACCTCGTTGACAAGGAAGCCAATTAGGCCTTATTCGACCTTATTAGGAGGCATTTCCAGTGACAGGACCCATCAACTGTCACAACTGGAATTGGGGTTTGTATAATTGAATACACAAAAAAGTAAAGTAAGAGATTAAAAGCAACAGACTGTGAGGCAATTTTCATTTTGATGCAATTTTTTAAATTTCATGTCTAAAGTTGTCTTGACAACTATTTAAAAAGAAATTCCCTTTGCTAAGTTATGAATGGACCAAAGGGCCTACTTATTTTTTATTTTTTTAAATTTATTTATTTTTTGTTAGACCAATGGTATTTTTTATTATTTTTTATTTTTTTAAAGGAAACAAAACGCACCTTTATCCATATTTGGCAGTATACGTCAAATTCCACACAAATTTACACGCCCAATCTATGGTTAGACCAATGGTATTATTTCTTTTTTGGGCCTACTTATTTTTAACCCATTTAAACAGGGACAGCATGTGCGCATTTTAACCTTTAAAACCGGGGACGCTGTTACGCATTTCTACCCTTCAGGCCGGGAAAGCGGATACGTCATTTTGTTGTTTTCATTACTTTTCCGACCATTTCCGGGCTCATAGTTGTTCTTTTACTGGCACTTTATACTAGGGCAGATGCCATAGTAACACTTCAAGACACTTTATTTTTTATATTTTTATTTTATTTGAACGGACACTTTATCATGCCTGCCACCCAGTAGCGGAGCTACGGGGGGCAAAGACACGTCCCTTTTAGTCCTGGCTAGATCTCAATCATTTTCTTTTATTGACGTCTTTTCCAATTATCGTAACTGGCAACTGAAGACACGGTTTCTCACCGTATGCGATCGAACAGCGATGAAATCATGGGCTAAATTCAGTGCAGAAAAATAATTCACTTATTAATTGGCCAATGCTTCGCGTGATTGAACTGGTCCGTGTTCCAGTGAAACGCGGACTTTCACTCTCGGTATTTCGTGGGTTGATTTAAAAAAAAAAAAACAGTGGCACTCGGCAGTTAAATAGCCTAGGTTATAACAAGCGTGCGGCTCAAGCCATTTGCGTGAGAGTCGACAGGTAGGCTATGCAATTTTGAATAACGTAGATTTAAATACAGCAAATACGCGTCCAGAGGAATGATTGTTGTCTTACCTAATCGGGGAGAACAAGCAGCACCTGTTAAGTGCGGCGCGCTCTCGGAGTGAACCTTTTGTTAATCATGAAGATGACTGAGAACAGGTCAGGATTTATAATTGTTTTAAACGGCTGTTTTGTGCAACCCAATTCTCTGTTCCGCCACTGTGCTGAATTTGACCCGCGATTTAATCGCTGTTAGATCGCATGTGGAGAGAAACCGTGTCTTCAGTTGCCAATTTTACAATAATTGGAAAAGACGTCAATAAAGGAAAATGATTGAGCTCTAGCCAGGACTAAAAGGGACGCGTCTTCGCCCCCCCTGTAGCTCCGCCACTGGTTTTAAATATTGTGATGAAGATTTTCACAAATAAAAAAACATAGTTCTTATAAAAGCCACAGGTGTAAGCTCTCAAATACTTTTTGAATTTTGTTTCTATCTGCTACAGAGGCTGAGATATCAGCTTTTTATCCCCCCGGCATAGAATGCGGGGGGATATAGGCATCGCCTCGTCCGTCTGTCCGTCCGTCCGTAATCATTTTGTTTCCGGAGCAGAACTCGGAAACTATGCAAGATATCAGCACCAAACTCGGTACATGTATTCTATGTATAGCCTAGCTGTGCCTTTTGCTACTTTGGAAATTTCGGGATTCCTATTTTTGTCGTTTCCATGGAAACAAATCTGGACTTGGTGCACATCAGGCCTAGTTCATTTCCGGAGCACGACTCAAAAACCGTTCATTATATCTCTCTGAAACTTTTGCATGTGTATTACCCAAGTACTGAAGTGGCACCTTTTCATATTTTCAAATTTCTGAAATTATTTTGTTTTTCCTTTCCATGGAAGCGACATGGATTTGGACTCAGTCGCAGGGCTGGGTTTGTTTCCAGAGCAGAACTAAAACACTGTTCATTAATGACCCTTGTTCTTTTATTGCCTTTGCCAACGTGTGCTTCATAGTCTTTGCTAGATGTTGCCAGTACATACTTCCAGATCATTCCAGAGGAAAATCACCTCAACATTCTTGTTTGAATTTCTTTAAAGGTGTAGGATTGACATGACTTTTGCAAATAATCAGGGGCCGGGGGGATATGTCATCTTCTGATGACTCTTGTTACTAGACGTTGACACCTGGGTGCTGTTTTCCAGAAAACCTCAAGTTTTAGGGGTTCTTTTCAAAATCGCCCATAGGTTTTCATAGGCGTTTTTTGAATAGGCCTCAGGCCTAAATGGGTTAATGTAGTTAGCTCAGACATAAATGACGTCTCAGCCGAACCAGTTGCATTAAAAAACCAAGGGCGGATCAATTGTAAAAATTCCGGAGAGGAAAGCAGGTATTTACTTACAAGATACCGTCTGGATAATCTACTGGGACAGGGTTCAAGCATTCAGGACTCTTTCAGAGCAACTGATAACATGAAATTCAGGCAGCCAGGACAGACGCGGTAAGTTGGGTCACATGGGTCCTTTCTTCATTTCGTCGCTGTATTTAAATTACTGAGAACGGAAAGTGAGTAGCTATGAACAGCTGGTCGTTCTTTTCGAACCCCTTCCACATCTATTGGTTCTGACCGGGAGATAAAAATTGTGAATAACGTGCGCGGGGTAAAGAAGGACTGGCCGATATCCGTGAGATCAGCTGAGTTAGTACATTTTAAATGCTGACTGCCATTTAGTGGTCTCATGAACTGACTAGCTCGCTAGATGGCTATGCTGCGGGCATTAAGTTAGCTAGTAACGTTAGCAAGCAGGATTTGTTTCTCGGGGTGTTGTATCGTTAGCTAGAAAAAAAGTGTGGGTGTAGGTTTTTTGTTTAATTACCCAATGATTCTCTGAGTTTGCGTGGTTTTCAATCGAAACGTCAACAAGCTGATAATCAGCACCCCCCGCCCTGCTGATTTAGTGATGCGATTGGACACCCACACCGGCCAGAAGCTACTGATCGAATGTCTTAACAACAATATGTACGAAACTTCATTGACCAGCCAGTAGCTACCGTTGACTATTTGTCTGCTGTTGTTGAAGTGGACATTCTCACTGGCTAAGTGCTGTGATTATAACTTCGGGTTCATTCTTTTATAATTGTTGACTTATTATTTGATGTAGCTTCCGCAGGTTTCGCTATGGTTGATTATTTAAGCTATGTTGATTAGATGTCAGGTTTATACTTACTTGTAAAGCCGCTTTCACCCTGGACGCGAAACGAATTTATCGCAGGACGGATTACATTCAAAGTCATGCAAAGACGCGAATACACGCGCGTGTATTCGCGTCTTTACATTGACTTTGAATGTAATCTGTCGTGCGAAAAATTCGTTTCGCATCCGGTGTGAAAGCAGCTTAAATGTCTCCAAACAACAACGGATGTTGAGAAAATCGAAGGGCATGCAACTGTACTTCCATGTATACATGCATGCATACAGACTGAGACTCCTATTTTAGTTTGATGTTTCAAAGATTTTAGTTGTGAAATGTAAATGTAAAAATAACTTTGTACTGCTCGTAAAATGGGCATGATTCAGGTTGTTTCTGACCTAAGACACGGTAGGTGCTGGAGTGACGTTTGGGTGGTGTCGTCGTGACATATTTTGTTTGGACTGCTCTAAGGTTAATACCTTGTGTCATTGTTGCATGGTTTGCTTTGACTATTTGTTTAAGTAACCTACTCCTCTGCCTGTACCTTGCATACTTTCCAGTATATGGTCGTCTGATGCGTGTCATTTTTATCTTTAAACTTGTAACTTTATGGACTAGTTCGCGGAGAGCAGCTTGCATTCAGTGAATTCTTGTTATTGACAGTATGAAAGTTCATTTGATTTGGTAGTTGGCCTTGAAGTGAAGGAGCCATTGGCAACTGACTCGACTAAATGCACATTGTTGATTGTTTTGTCAATTTAGGGCACACCATATAAATTAATTGTTCTAAATGTAAATACAAAAGACTATTAGGCCATTAACTTGTCAGTGGTGTCCATGTAACTTTCCTCCTCTCTCTGACCATTGTTAACCAGCAGAAAAATATGAGTGACCCCAACACTGTAGAGGTGACAGTCAAGACTCTGGACTCTCAGAGTAGGAGTTACACAGTCAGAGGCGATGTAAGTGCTTCCCTTGTGTTGGATGTGTTGTCCATTTTATTTTGGTATATATGATATTGGTCAGAAAAGGTTTGCGCGCGCGCGTGTGTGTGTGTGTGTGTGGGGACGCGTGTGTCCTCCCCCAAATCCTGTAATATACAGTTAATATGCAGTCATTGATGCCAGTAATATGCAGATGCATTCTCAGATGTTCAAAAGGGAGGTTTATAAACTTTATGTCAAAAAACCTCATAAAAATCTAATGTTTGTAGGCCATTTGTTGCTAGTCAATCTCTCCCCTCTGAAGAACAGGCTGTTCCAAACGCACGTGTACATAGCCTCTGGCAAAACTTGCAACAGTCTCAGAATACGTTTGTGATATAAGTTAGTAATACAGTACACAGTGGCCCTCATTTATCAAATGTGCGTACGCCAAAAAAATGGGTGTACACCAAATCTCCTGCAAGGATTGGCATTAATCAATCTGAACATGAGTGTACGGCATGCAAAAATCTCACGCCAAGTCTGACCAGGCGTATGCACATTTGAAACCAGCGTACAACATGCAGGAATGAGTGCAGCTGTCAAAATGATTAATAAACCATATGCAGCGATCCAGACGTCATGTTGTTGTTCTTATTAGTGAAATGAAAAAATAGGCTAGATAAATGAATAGATAAATAAGACACCTGTGTTGAGAAATTGATTAAACTTATATTTTGAGACAACCTGCTTGTCAGGCCAGAATCAATTTGATGAAGCGCAATGCACTTACTAATAAAAGTACAAT